GTGTCTAGCGATTAAAACAAGTGGGCCGGTGATGAAGACTGCTAGCTGACTGAGATAGTTGGAGATGTGAGTTTGGTCTCAACGAGAGTATTATTTGATATGCTTCTAGATCTACATTAAGGGAAATGCACCTTTTGAGCTTGTGTGGACTTCTTAAGAAAGAGGAAGAGGAAGAACAGAGACTAGAGAGGGAGAAACTAAAAATCTTTTCATTCCATAACTTTTTTCTTACAATAAAAGGTGTATTTATAATGCTTGAGTAGACTAAGTTTACAATATAGACTAAGTTTACAAGATAGAACTGATCTACCAAACAAAATCTAAAATAGAATAAAATAAAAAAATTAGTACTTATTACATATAGATGTATAGACTATTTGGTTTTTAATTTATTTAACTAAAGATATATTGCTAATGAATAACATATGGTGCTGAGGTTTCTTCAACTAGGAAAAAGCCATCAAGGAGACAAGTCAAAAATAATGCTAAAGGCAACCCCAATAATTGGCAGATTGATAACTGGCTTTGCCTTATACTTTGAAGCCAATGGTGACTATTTCTTATAAAAGTAAGTTTGAATTATTTTTTTTAACATGGGTAAAGCACAATAATCCAACCATTAAGCTAGAGCAATCTTCACATGCAGAGCTAAAATACCAAGCCCAATGCCTCCCAAGTATAAGCTTAAGTCTTTGTATGCCAAGGTACATATAATTCGTTAAGTTGTAAAAGAGAAGGGGTGTAAAAGAGAAGGGGCATATGAAAGAAAAGTACCAAAAGGCTAACTATGGAGGAATCTCAAGAAAAAAGTATAAAGGGCAATCATCTGCTGTAGTACAGAAGTTGGTAAAAACTAGATGAGGTAAACATTCGGGCATGAGGCATGATACTTGAGATTTGAGCCCACAAATCTAATACCAAAAGACCCCAATTGAAAGGGATGAAAATATAAAGATTGAAGCGTCATGAAAAAGACACGGTTGATGGACCTCATAGATCCAACATTGATGAGATTTGCCAAGATGATTGAAAGTTCGTTAGGGGAATACAAATAGCCACTTCAACGATTTCCCATAGGAGCCCAAGCATCACAAATCACGGAAAAGCCCCCTAACCTCACGTGAAACAGCCCAGCCAGGGACCCGAAGAGGCAGTCGCGGAAACCCAAGAGGCCGGCACGAAACCGAGGCACCAAAGCACGGGAAAGGCCACCCAGCAGGAAAACCAGCAGCCAACCGTGGAAACCAAGGAGCCAAGGCACGGAATTAGCCAACCGTAGAATCCAAGGAGCCAAGGCACGAAAAACAACAAGCACAGGGAATCCAAAAGCCATTTTGGAAACCCAAGGGACAAACTAAGAATTTTAAGAGACAAAACTATAAATAAATAACTACATAAATAAGAAAATAAATGAACTAAAACCTAGCTAATAATGAGCTAACCTTTAGTTCAATACATGAATTAAAAACCGGCTCATAATGAGCTAAATTTCAGCTCAAAATTTATTGAGCTAGCAAGCTTATGAGAAGTAAAAACCAATTTTTTTTTTGTTTGATTTGACCCCCCCTTTGCCTACATCAAGCAACCTTTGTGAATCCCTCACAAACTCCCTCTCACAAGCTCTCCCTCTCTCTCTCTCTCCCAAGCTCTCCCTCTCCTTCTCTTGACTCTCTCAGGTTAGAACAACAACAAAACATCCCTACTTAAATAAATAAGAGATCTTATAGGAAGGACTTAAAATTTTCCCTAATTTGCAACTTACCATCAAAGATCGTCCTGTACGATCAGTGTATTTTCAATCCTTTCGGTCAGGACGATCTGGGAGGGATGGATGATTAGAACCCTTCTTTGTTATGATCGTCCAGGATGATGAGGATCATCCAGGACGTTGAGGATCGTCCTGTATGATGAGGATCGTCCTGTACGATTAGTTCAAAACCATAGATATCATCCAGCACGTCGTTCTGGTCGTCTAGAAGATACATGTTGGACGATGAAGAAACATAACATATCATCCAGGATGATTCTTTAATCATCTTGTACGATTAGTTCAAATCAAGTATTTTCGTCCAGCACATCGTTCTGGTCATCCACATGAAACACCTGGACGTTGGAAAATTTGAACTAATCGTCCAGCATATCATTATGGCCGTCCAGGTGATCCAGGAGAAGACTAAGGTTTTTCTAACTGATTGTCCAGGACGCTCCTGCGATCGTCCAGGACAATATGATCGATCAATCAAACCTTAATTGCTTTCATTAATCATCTGGCTAACTTAGGCATGATTGTAATGAAAAGTCTATGATGATATGGGATCGTTCTGTACGATTTTCATAAATAATAACATACCTAAAAGGGTTGGCGGCTGGTTCTTTCTGATTTGAGCCTATCGTCCAGGACGATTTGTTTAATTTGGTTGTCTTAACAAGGATGCCTTAATTAGGGTTTCTGTTTTTAACTGATCGTCTAGGAAGATTTTGGATCATCCCGAACGATATAATCAAAAACAGAAAACTCTAAAACATACAGAATTTCTCCACTGAGTGAGTGTGTGCAAGGTTACTTAGCATCAGGATCCACATTATTATATTTGACTCAAGAAAATGTAAAAACACTTGAAGTACACTTACATATTGACTCAGTCCTAATCTACCCAATCTTGAGGTAGCTTAATTTGCAATTGATCTTGTGGACTTGAAACGTTAGTAAGCAAGGTAATAGTAGAGAAAGAGAAATGCTGGAAATATTTGCTATCATCAAAATTATAATCATTGAATCCAGGTTTGCAACAATGGTTCACTAAGATGATGTTCTTATCAACAATAGCCATGATGGCCGACATCCTAGAGAGTCATGTTAACAAAAGGTGGTAGTGGCCTCCTCAAAGGGATCCCGCCATAATCCAATTGCTAGCGCAAAAGAAGAAACCAATTCTAGCCAAAATTATGTGGCCAATGAAATTGCATACCTTAGTTGATGCCAGAAGTTTGTTGGAGGTATCAGTAAGATGCTTAAGCTAAAAAAAAAGAGAAGAAATTGGAGAAACAAAGGAGATTGAAATCAGTACCGGTGTATGCTAACACTGAGCATGATGAATCACAATCACTCCTCTTCTGGAAGAGCACTTTCAAAACCAAGAAGAAAAGATTGATCCTTCTTTGGCAAGTGAAGAAGAGGAATAAGACGCAGCATTTTATTTTGTTGCTCTGGCTCATACAAAGTAACAGATGTAGCAACAAATGAAGGTTAAAGACAAGAAATCTATAGTGCCAACATGAATAAAATGATGACATCGATAAATATAATGATGCAACTTCTACAAAAAAGAAAGAAAAAAAACTTATATTCCATCCATTAGCAATCCTCATCAAACAATCGCTGATACACACGCAAATCCCATTCCATACTTTTGAACTTAAAAATGTCCTGGAGAGATGACAAATAAGTTCGAGAGCAGCCAAGCCAACTACCTAAGAAAGTCAAAATGCCTCTAAAGCATTAAATATGCCTCAACTTAAAACTTTTATTAATGAAAAGTTTAAAGCAATCATAGCTTCAAAGCAAACAGAAAAGCTGGTGGGCAAGGGTTGTCCATATCAAGCAAAATATGACCAAGTGCCATATCCTAGAAGGATTTTCCATACCAAAATTCCACACTTTTAATGGCAAGGGCAAATCCAATTTAGCAATTTGGCCCAGTTCAAGGGGACTTGTAGAAATATTGGAAGCATGGATGCTTAACTTTCTGCTAGTTTTTTGGTATTCTTAATGAGATTACTTTTGAAATAGTATGTTAAATTATTAAATGACTCTACCAAGACATGCGCTGAGTTGGAAATAATGTTTGCAAAGAGAGACAAATGACTGAAAAAGACTACCATCATCAGCCTTGATATAGTAAGGATGAGTCAATGAAAAATTGCATTAATCGTTGGCATAATAATATGAGCATGAAATGTGAGCAATAATTAGATGAATGGAATGTTGTCAAATTATTGTTGGGGAACATTGATGGTCAAATGGCTCCATACTTGGGCATGACCTCCATCACAAAATTCCAAGAGCTATTATATTGCATCAAAAAGTTCAAGAAGCTAAAATTCTAGAAATATGATCAAATGGGGGAGGCAAAGGGCAAGTATGCACATGATAGGTCATCTGCATAAGGTTTCGAACTCAATAAAATATGATAAAAGCAAGGGTTTTTGTGTGAGAGACAAAAGGAGTTAGCGGCAAAGATTCGACCAAAATAGGCATGGCAAGGAAGGAGAGGGTATGCAAGAAAAAGAGCCAACAAAGACAGGGAGAGTGGGCTCAAAGGGTATGGGATTAAGACAAGAAAAAGAGCCAACAAAGACGGAGAGTGGGCTCCAAGGGCATGGGATTAGACAAGAAAAAGAGCCAACAAAGACGGGGAGAGTGGGCACCAAGGGTATGGGATTAAGACGAATGCGGCATCTTGCAGTAGAGGGAGCGGGAGTTGGTGTTGTTGGTACATATGGTAGGAAGACAAGTGCAACCAGAGTCATAGCAAGACTAGCAAAAGGGGGAGAGCATAGAGGAATCGTGAGCAAAAGTGTGCTAGTGCGAGTAATAAGTAAAAGAGATCAAGAAGGCATCATATTGCAAGATAAGGAGAAGAAGGCAAGCGGCATTCGACCATCGAATGCTTGAAACATGATTAATAACTCAAACAAGGATAAAAGCAATCATCCACCCCTTATTTAGAATAATTAATAGAACTACTTTCCAAAAAGGGAGTTATATTCAATACATAACTGCACCCTCCTCTCTGCTCTTAGCAAAAGACATGTGACCATACTTTACTGAGCATAACAGTAGATAGACGCTTAGCATACTTAATATTCCAAAAACTAACCAAAATATGATGGCAATAGCAAACCTGACAATATTAGGTCAGGCAAACTTCAGGCAATTTTTACATTAAGTCAGAATAAACCTGAAGGAAAAATTACAATTCAGAGTTTATCATACATACTCTGTCTAAAGCTGCAACACCTGGAAGCGCCTTTCCCATGAGAAAGTCCCACACAACGGATGCATTTTCAAACATTTTACATTGTGAAACAGAAATCTTTGCTGCCAGAACGGTTTGGCAGGCTGCATTCCCAACAACAGTTAAGTCACAGCCATTCTTACAAATTATTTCAAGCATACGACCCAAACCCGATGCTCCAACTGCACCATTCGCTGATGAAGCAAACTTGACAGGACCAATCCAAAGAACCTTCTATTGAACACAAATTATATAGCTTTAATAAAACAAACCAACTGCCAATATAAAAGTTAATTTTATAAATACACATATAAAAAGAGTTGTATAGATACACAATATAAGGAACAGAAAACAATGTAAAATAAATATGTAACAAGTGCAGTTAAACGAAAGTGATACTACAGTTATAGAGTGGTGGTTGCTTAATATGTGCAAAATTTTATTTCATATTAATATTAAACATCTAATAAACTTGAGTTATAGAATTATTGTAAGCAGGATAGAAAATGCAAAGAGGGAAGTAAGCAAAATAAATGCTAAAATTTTTTATAAATTATATAATAGGCTCGGCATGAAGGAATATAACAAGATATAGAAAATAACTAAGGTTATACACAGTATCTACAAACTTTGATCAAGTTCGTTACATTCATTATTAGTTAAAAATGAAGACCTCAAAGAAAAATAGAAATGTGATTTTGAGAAATTAATAAATGAGAATTTTAAGAAAAAAAATTATAAGACAAGAATAAAAAGAAAAATGAGGTAGATCGTAAAAAAAAGTGAAGTGAAATTTGTTTAGAAGAAGACACATAAAGTAAGTATTTGATCTTGATAAGATATCTATCAAAATATTAAGAGTTAAGAGTGAGATAAAGTACCTTAGTTGATAAATCTTTTCAGTTGAATTTTCAAGAATAAAATGATGTCGTAATATATAAACATCTTGGCAACAATATTTATGTGAGGACCGGCTGGACCGATTTAGTTGAACCAATCCCTTATCAAGCGAACGAGCTAGAGCTGCGAGCGAATCAACGCGATTGAGAGGGGCAGACACGACTCCTCGTGAGGGTTAAGTCAATTTTGCTCCATCCAGTAAAACCGAATGAGTGAAAGAGAAAAATCAAGAACAATGACCGAGGAGGAATAGTTTGGGGGAGAGATATATATTGCGAGAGAAAGTTAGAGGAGGAGAGTTCCTTGCTATTATTGATCAACGAAGGATCTATAAGAAGAAGAAATTTCGAGGTAAATCATGAATTTCCTTTTAATATAATGTTTGATCAATTTCAGGGAATTAGAAAATTTAATTTATTATGTAGAATGTTCGATGTTATCTTTAATGATCAGCAATGCATTTAATGCTGACTTGGACAATATTCGATGTGTCTGATGTTGTCTTAGCAACATTCAATGCATTCTATGCAATAATTGGTGTTCGTAACATAAAAAAATTTCCTTGATGACTTTAAATTTCTTAAAGGTGATTTTTTTTAATTTAAAATGGTTGTTGAAATAGGACAGTGAGAGAATAAAGTATTACAGCTGAAGTGAAATTCCAGCATACAAGTATTCTCAAAGTGAGATTAGGTAATATGAAGTCACATTGTTATTGAAAAAGTGTGTTTAGGTAGTTCTAAATTAATTGCATAGACTAACATGAATATTTTGTTAATAGTTGGGTCTTACTCTAACAAAGATTCATCAAGAGTCTGCAAAACTCAAAAGTGATAGATTCAGCCTTCGTAGAAAAGAAAAATGGGTAATTATATTTATAATATAACACTTCCATATTATTTAATTTTGTGTAATTATTGATATGGAATTATATATACATATTTGATAGTTTAATTAAATGAATGTTACTTTATAATAGAAATGAGAAATATTAAATGACCTCACATATTCTTACTGATCAGTTTATATTTCATGTTAAAGATGCAGAAAGAGCATCCTACAAAGCAACCATATTATATAGAGATTACAATGAATATGGAAAAAGAAATTGAAAGGAGAAGAATAAATTTTAATATGGAATAAGAATTACTAAAATTGAAAAGGTATATGATAATTAGGTTTTACAATTTTAATTTAATACCTAACATTTAATTAATATAAGTTGTATTAATCTTTTGTTTAATTACAAAGCAACCATATTATATAGAGATTACAATGAATATGGAAAAAGAAATTGAAAGGAGAAGAATAAATTTTAATATGGAATAAGAATTACTAAAATTGAAAAGGTATATGATAATTAGGTTTTACAATTTTAATTTAATACCTAACATTTAATTAATATAAGTTGTATTAATCTTTTGTTTAATTTTAATATATATATATATATATATATATATATCT